CCTGGGGAGCCCCAAACACCCCAAAACATCTGCACCCACATCCACATCCTCCACCTGTTCCCCTGGGATGGAGCAGGGTACCTGGATACCCCAAAGCACCCCCAAAATCTGTGCCCTATGTCCATATCCATTACCCATATCCATGGAATACCTGGGGAACCCCAAACACCCCAAAAGGCGTGCACCCACATCCCTATCCTCCACTCACTCCACTGGGATGGAGCAGGGTACCTGGGAACCCCAAAACTCCCCAAAATCTGTGCCCACACCTGTATCCCCCACCTGCTACACCACCTATGTGCAGGCACAGGGATGCAGCAGCACTCCTGGGGACCCCCAAACAGCCCAAAAAATGTGCCCACGTCCTTCCCCCCACCCCTGGGCACCCAGCACAGGGTGGGGGTCCAAGGCAGCACCCACCTGCCCCTGGGGCACCTTGGCATGGGCCAGGGCCTGGGTGCTGAGCCTGAAGTGCCTCTTCTTGAAGGCGAAGCGGGGCAGCAGTGCCACCCTCCCCTCTGGGCAGGTGTGCAGGGGACCCTCCTTGATGGTGGCCGAGGGCTGGGAGTGTCCCAGTGGCACTGGCACCTCGTCCACTGCGGCCGTGGCAGGGAGGGAGCAGTGTCACCCCAAATGCCACCACCTCCCACAGCCCGAGGGTGCCCCTGGCCACACCAGGGTGATGCCACTGACCCGGCACCAGCGATGTCCCCTCCCTGCCCTGTGTCCCCGCTCACCCACGGTCACCAGGGCGTCCAGGAAGGCCCGGACACGGGTGACACTGGGCAGGAGGACGGCGTTCAGCGGGGCCATCCATGGCTCCTTGCCCTGCCCCAGCTGCAGCCCCAGGTTCCCGATGGTCTGCAGAGCCTGTCCCATGCAGGGGAGGGGACACGCTGCTGTGTCCCTTCTGGTGTGACCCCCCCAGACCCCGAGGGCTCAGGGGTTGGGGTGGGAAACGTGGAGCAGCTGGAGGGGTGATGGGACCCAAATTCTGCCCCTGTGCTGTGCCCAGCTTGTGGTGGCACGGCCTGGGGACGGGCAGGACTGGCCTCAAGCGGCACAGGAAGGAGCCAGCTCATGGTGTGTGGCACAGGGGCAGGAATGGCTCTGTCCTGCTTGGGGTCCCTGTCATTCCCTGGGGTTTCTGTCCCTCCCCAGGGCGTCCTGCCTTTCTGGCCTCCCCATTCCTTGTGGGTTCCCATCACTCTGCAGGGTCCACATCCCTCACAGAATTCTCTGTCCTTTCTGGGGTTTCTCTCTGGAGTCCCAAACCCTCCCTGGGCTCCCCATCCCTCCCCACAATCCTTGTCTCTCCCAGTGGTCCCCATCCCTCTGCAGGTCCCTCACCCACCCCAAGGGTGCCCATTAATCCCCAAGGATCCCCATCCCTCTCCAAGGGTTCCCATCCCTCCCTGGAGTTCCCATCCCTCCTCAAGATCCCCAAGGATCCACATGCCTCCCCAGCACTCCCACCCTCCCTAAGGATGCCCATCCTTCCCCAGGCTCCCTAACCCTCCCCTGTATTCTCATCCCTCCCCAGGTCCTCCACCCTTCCCAAGGCCCTTATCCATTCCCAGGCTTCCTATTCCTCCCCAAGGTTCTCATCCCCTCCCCAAGGTCCCCATCCCTCTCCAAGGTGCCCACATCCCTCCCTGGTGTCTCCATCCCTTCCCAAGGGTCCCCATGTCTCCCTGGTGTCCCCATCCCTCTCCAAGGTCCCCACCCCTCCCCGGTGTCCCCATGCTGTCCCCCACCTTGGCGAGCAGCAGGAGCGTGCGGCCGGTGCAGGGCTCCGCGTGCTGCTCCCAGAGCCCGAAGAGCTTCGGGGTGAGGACAGCGGGAGCGAAGAAGCGAAGGAAGAGGAACCCACTGATGGAGAAGTACCGGACCTCCTGGATGGGGACAGGGGCAGGGATGGGGTCAGGGGCAGCTCAGAGCTTGGGCTGGTGGTCCTGGAGCTGCGCAGACCCCCAGCCCTGCCGTGGGCCCCACCTCGTGCTGTGCCAAGGGGAATCGCTCCTCCACCCGCCTGCGGAGCTGCTTGAAGGCCACCCTCATGGGGAGGGGACACTGGTCCGCCGAGCCCACGATGGCATCGACGATGTCCCCCAGGTAGCCCTTCAGCAGCTCCAGGCTGCTCTCCCGCACCTGTGCCTGCGACAGGGATCCCTTGAAGGAGATCCTCCTGTGGGGACACCTCTGGGTCAGGGACACCGGGAACGGGGGCACTGAGCTGCCCAAAAGAGACCCATAGGCTCAGCAGCAATAGGGGACACAGGGACATGCCAGGTGTCCTGTGCCCCTCCCAGACATCCACCTGTGCCCACCTGCCCCAGCTCAGCTCCATCTTGCTGGGGTCCAGCTCCACATATTTCTTCTCCTCAAAGATGCGGTTCACCACCGGCTTCAGGACCTCGTGCAGGTAGGGCAGCCCCACCACCTGCAAGGGGTGGGAAGGCACTGTCCTTGTCCCCACACGCCCTGCTGGGACATGATGGTGTCCCTGCCCATGCTCACCTTCATGAACTGCTCCATGCATTTGGAGGCCAGCGAGTTGGAGCGGAAGAGGGTGTTGGGATCAGCTGGAAGAGCACAGAGGCTGTGGCAAGGTGGGCACAGGATGACATCCCAGCCGTCCCTGGTGTGCCCAACTCCAGGGACATGTGGCATCTTTCCTGCCTCTTCCTTGGTGTCCTCACTCTGGCTTGGGGTTTCTTGGGGTGGCCCTGGGCACTTACTGGTCCTGGCCAGCTCACGGGTGGTGAGGTAGTCCAGGAGGGGCACAGCCAGCCCTTGGCCCAAGAAGATCTTCACCAACTTGGTGGCCACGTCCTGCCGGCTCTCCCCTGAGGTCACCTCCTCCAGGACAGCCAGGGCTGTACCTTCGGGGGACTGTGGGGAGGGCAGGGTGGGCACAGTGGGGCCTCCGCACTGGGGTGGTCACCCCAAAGTTCCCCACAGCCCCAGCACCCACCTGGGCCGGGCAGAGGATGGGCTCGGTGAGGAGCTGGATGAGGGGCTGGTAGTGGTGCAGGGGCAGAACCGTGTCCTCCAGCAGCCTCACTGTCAGCCTCAGGGCACCCAGCTGTCCCCTGCAATGACACAGGGACTCATATGGCTCCTGTGTCCTCCACGGGGGTCACCTCGTGCTGCCCTGGTCACAACCACCTGTCCCCTCTGCCTGCACTCACCTGTGGTCCTCGGTGGTGCTGGGGAAGGGCAGGAGCTGGAACCAGCCCCTGGTGGGGCCTGGGCAGAGGGTGTCCAAGAAGAACTCGACCTGGGGGACAGGGGCAGGGTCTGGATGGGAAGGACACGTGCCAGTCCCCTGTGCTGCACCTCCCTTGGGGGACAGCCCGGGACCTGCAGGGTCTGCATGTGGCACTGCCCCCATCCTGCTGGGTCCTAACCTGAGGTCACCCAGACCCCACACAGGGCGGTGCAGAGGTGCCCCCAGGACCCTGCCCCATTCGGGTGTGCCCCGAGGTCCTCACCCGCCCCAGGAAGTCGTTCTTGCCCACGATGTCCCAGTCCCAAACCTCCACACTGAGCACAGCCTCTCCCAGCTCCCCTTCCGGCAGCTCGAACTCCAGCACCTCATCCCAGCGAGGGAACCGGGTTTTCTTCATCACCTGCGGGGCACCGGGACCGGTGGCCGAGGGGACGAGGTGCCCGAGGGTGCCCAAGTGTGCCCGAGGGTGTCTGAGCCTCCTGGGTCAGTCGGGGAGCGGGTGCCACACCCAGCACCCAGCAGTGACTCACGGCTGTCTCCAACGTGTGCCCGCAGCACGACACCCGGCCAAAGGGGTCCGAGGTGCCCGAGGGGTCCCGGGGGGCCAGGTCCCTGTGGGGACATGGATTGGGGTCAGCAGGGTTTGTCCCCACCATCGCGGTCCCTGCAGCCCCACGTCCCCGCTTTGTGCCAGCTCGCCTGGGCATATGGGGCAGCCGGCAGGGGCCGGGGGTTCTGGGGAGATCGTGTCCCCATTTCCAGGGGAGCCCTTCCTCCCCCAGTCCCTCGTGGGGATGCTGCCGTCCCTCCTGGCTGTCCCCATGGCCACCCTATCCCCATGGCCATCCCGTTGCCTTGGTAGCCGCTTTGGTTGCCATGGCAGCGGGATGCTGCCTCTGCTGCCTGCTCCATCTGTCAGCTCCCTGTGTGTGTCACCGCGTGTGTGTCACCGCGTGTGTGTCCCTGTGCACGCTCACACGCGTGCACACACGTACACACCCAAAATCCAGATGGGCAGCCTGGGCAGTGCCTCAGTTTCCCCAAATTTTGAAGCTAAAGGGCAAAACCACAGTGTGAAAGCAAACCATTCTGCTGGGGACAAGCCCTGGTGCTCCTGTGCCCCTGTCCCCAAGCAGGGATGGCAGCACATTTCCCACTGAGCCCCCACGGCGCCGTCACACGTGGGTTGGCACCACTGATGTCCCCAGCCTGGTGCACTGAGGATCCTTCCGAGTATGGAAAGGGCAGGACGAACCCCGTGCCACCACTGTCCCCATCCCCTCCTCTCCTCCCTCCCACCAAAAATAAGACCCCGTGCTGGTGGCAGCCCCCCGGATCTGCCAGCCCCCAACCTGGCCTCGATGAGGTGGCAGCGCAGCACCCGCGGGTGGCCCCGCTCGGGGACTCGCAGCTCCAGGTGGATCTCACCCTGCACCTCCTGGTCGGGGTTCACAGGTGCCAGGCTGAGCCAGCTGTCAATGCCTGCCGAGGGGGACAGCGTGGGCACCCCATGGTGCCAGGATGGGTCTCGCTGTCCCCCACCCCACTGTGCCCCCCCTCACCCCGCGGCTCGGCCGAGATCTGCTGGTGGCTGAGCGAGACCTTGCCAATGACATCGTCCTGCCTGTGAGGGAACAGACACAGCAGGACACTGCTGGGGACCTGCCACCCCTCGGGGGGGTCCCCAGTGCCCACCCTGCCCATGTTGTCCCCCTACCCAATGGTGTCTTCATCCAGCACGTAGATGGTGAGGTTGTTGAATCCACGGGGCAGAAGCAGTGTGATTTCCTCACCCCAAAAAGGGTTCAGGCTCTTCCACACCGTGGCTGTCCTGCCGGGATGGCAGAGGTGGCTGTCCCCCCGGGGAGGATCCCCCACTCCTGCGTGTCCCCTCCCCGTGTGGGACAGTGTCCCTGTACCTGGCCACCACCTCGTTGTCCACCTTGACCACGCAGTAGGGATCGCTGGAGCCGGACCTGGGCAGGGGATGGAGGTGCCCAGGGTCAGCCCCCACTTGGGAATCCCCCCATCCTGGGGGGCCTCAAACCCCAACAGAGGCACCAGCCCCGGGGGTGAGGCGAGCTGCCCAGTGCCCAGCTGCAGCCTGGCCCTGCAGCTGACACCGGGACGGGGACATCCCCTTTTCCCCTTGAGCTGAGGGACCTGCTGTGGGTCACCCCGAGGCATCGCCACGTGTCCCTGTGCCAGCCACCCGCGGGTACCACTGTGTGCCCAGCAGCACAGCCCAGCCCGAGTCTCTGTGACAGCCCACGGTGCCAGGGTGACACCGGTCTGGCCCTTTCCACTGGAAGAACAGGATGGAGGGATGAGGGACAGATCTAGGGACCATCCACCCGCTCCCTGCAAACCCCTTTCTGCTGGATTATGGCAGCTGGAGCAGCACTGAGCGGTGCCGGCCCTGGGGCGCTGCTGGAGGCCCAAATCTCCAGGAGGTGTTTTCACAAGGACTGGGACTCCGAGATGGATGAGGGAGATGACCCCAGTCTCTGTCCCTGCCACGGGACAGGAAGTGCGAGCAGCTCACCCCGACCCCCTCTGCAGCCCCATGACAGCCCCAAGCTGGGTTTGGGGGCTCTGGGAGCAGCACTGGGCACCCCATCATTGTCCAGATCGACGCTCTGCCCAGACCCCCGCAGTGGGACACCCCCCCGGGGGCGGAACCTGAGGCAGGGACACGGCACCGATCCCGGCTGCCCGGCCCTGGGAGCGGCCGGCGGTGCCAAGTTGGCACATCCGGAGGTGCCCGGGACTGCCAGCTCGGCTGAGACGTGTCCTTGGGGCAGGAGCGGGTGGGGGTCACCCTGCACCCCCCGCTTACCGCCCCACCCCACCAAAGGGGTGGGGGTGCAGGGGCTGTGCCCCCACAGTGTCACCCCCAAGCTTGGTGGGATCCTCTGTGCCCACCCTGATGGGGGGCACGAAAGGGATGCTAAAGGGGTTGGGGGGCTCATCCGCCCCTGGAGGATGCTAAAGGGAGCCTGGCAGTCCCTGCACCCCCCAGACCCCCACTTTGGGGGTAATGGGTGCAAGCAGAGATCCCCAAAACTGCATGGAGAGAACACCCAGGGAGGGCAGAGCACCCAGCACCCCCTCCCTGCCACATCTCCCGCCGTGGGTCGGGGGAGATAGGGGGACCCTGAGCCCCCCGAGCCACTCACACGTCCTTGGCGGGCAGGTCCTTCCCCTCCAGCACCCTGCAGCGCAGCGAGGTAGTTTTGGCCATGCCGGCGAACTTCGAACTTCGGGGTGGGCAGCTGGGGGGCTGCGATGGGTGCCCGGGGGTGCCCTGAGCCGCCGCAAAGCGCCGGTGGGGCTGCCAGCACCGTCCTCCTCCTCCTCCTCCTCCTCCTCCGCCGCCGCCGCTTCTCAGCGCGGCTTCTTCCTCTTTCCTCTTCTCGGTTGTTTTTGCTGCCGCTTCGCTCCCACCTGCGCCAGGCTGGCACAGGGAGGAGGGCGAGCGCGGCTTGAGGTGGCACCGTGCCCACCGCGGGGGTCCCATCGCGGGCCAGCGACCAGAGAGCAAAGCCATCCTCCGTCCTCCAGGAGGGAAACTGAGGCACGGCGGCATGGCAGAGCGGTGGCACCTGTGGTGAGGGGCTTCTGTCATGTCAGAGATGAGGGGCACAAGGAGTGCGTGGGTGGGGGGCTCGGTCTGGACCCCAAAGTGACGAAGTAGAGGGGGGAATGGGTGAACACGACTTGGGGATAAGGGGAGGAAGGAGGTGCATGGGACCCCCAAAGGGCCGCCGGGTGACCCCAGCCCTCAGAGGGACACGCTGAGCCCAGCCGGGGGACTCCAGCAGGTCTTGGGGTGTCTGTGGGTGCAGCACCCCAATCCTGCCACTCCCTGCACCCTGAGCCGAGAGGCTGGAGGGCACTGGGGGGCGAGGGGGGACATCCCTGCCCTGGTGAGGCAGAGCGGGGGTTTGGGGGGGCTGCGGGATTCGGGGTGCTGGCCAGCTGCCTCCTGCCGTGACTCACGGCTGGCATTGCCAGGGTGGGCGTCACCCAGGGGGTGCTGGAGGGGCGCAAAGGAGGGGTGCTGCTTCTTGGGGGGCTGATGATGGGGTGCTGCTTCTTGGGGGTATGATGGGCACGGGGTGATCGGGGTGCTGCTGAAGGGGGGGCTCAGTGAGATCCCTGGGAGCTGTGAGGGGGATGAATATGGGGGTGCTGATATTTCAGGGGCTGCTGAAAGGGGGGAGTCATCCAGCGAGTGCTGGGTCCCGGGGGTGTCACTGCCGGGGGAGGTTCCCTGTGTGGGTGCGAAAGGGGGAGGTGACACACCCCACACTTGTAGGGGTGTCACTATGAGGGTGCTGGGTCCCCGAGAGGGGGATTACTGCAGGGAGTGTCACCCTGTGGGTCCGGGGGGACTGTCTCTGACAAGGTGTGTCCCCGTGTGGGTCTCGGTGGGCGATGTCTCTGGTGGGGGTGTCACTCTGAAGGGGTCCCCGAGAGGGGGATCACTGCAGAGAGTGTCACCCTGTGGGTCCCGGGGGGCTGTCACTGCCAAGAGGTGTCCTGGGGGGGATGGCACTGGTGGGGGTGTCACTCTGAAGGTGCTGGGTCCCCCAGAGGGGGATCACTGCGGAGAGTGTCACCCTGTGGGTCCTGGGGGGCTGTCACTGCCAGGGGGTGTCTCTGTGTGGGTGCTGTGGGGGGGAATGGCACTGTCCCTGCCGGGAGCTGCCCCGGTGTGGGTGCCGGGTCTCTGAGGCTGTCCCTGCCGGAGCTGTCCCGGTGTGGGTCTCTGAGGCTGTCACTGCCGGGAGCTGTCCCGGTGTGGGTCTCTGAGGCTGTCACTGCCGGGACATGTCCCGGTGTGGGTCTCTGAGGCTGTCACTGCCGGGACATGTCCCGGTGTGGGTCTCTGAGGGTGTCCCTGCCGGAGCTGTCCCGGTGTGTGTCTCTGAGGCTGTCCCTGCCGGAGCTGTCCCGGTGTGGGTGCCGGGTCTCTGAGGCTGTCCCTGCCGGAGCTGTCCCGGTGTGTGTCTCTGAGGGGTCGCACCCCGTGCCCGGCGGGCGGGGCAGGCCCGGCTCCCGCCGCTCTCCTCACCGGGGCCGTTCCGGGCCCCCTCCCGGCCCGTCCCGGTGGCGGGGCGGTGCCGGTGGCGGCGGGGCCGGAGGAGGCGGCTCCAGGTCCCCTCCCCGCGCCGCCGCTTCCGCCGCCGCCGCCGCCCTGGGCCGGGCGGGCCCGGCGGGGCCGAGCGGGCGGCGGGGCCGCCATGAAGCCGAGCGGAGGTGAGCGGGAGCCGGGCGGGGGCACGGGGGTTGCGCTGTGAGGGTGCCGGGGTTTGGGGGCTCTGGGGGTAACGGGGCCGTCCCGCCGCAGAGGAGCCGGTGCTGCTGGCGGAGCTGAAGCCGGGCCGGCCCCAGCGCTACGATTGGAAATCCAGCTGCGAGACCTGGAGCGTCGCCTTCTCCCCCGATGGAGCCTGGTTCGCCTGGTCCCAGGGACACTGCGTGGTCAAGCTGATCCCGTGGCCCCTGGGGGAGGCCGAGCTGTGAGTCATGGAGTGGGTTGGCTTAAAAGGGGCCCTAAAGCTCATCTAGTCCCACTCCCTGCCATGGCAGGGACACCTCTCACTGTCCCAGGCTGCTCCCAGCCCCGTCCAGCCTGGCCTTGGGCACTGCCAGGGATCCAGGGGCAGCCACAGCTGCTCTGGGCACCTGTGCCAGGGCCTGCCCACCCTCCCAGGGAACAATTCCCAATTCCCAGTCTCCCATCCTTCCCTGCCCTCTGGCAGTGGGAGCCATTCCCTGTGTCCTGTCCCTCCATCCCTTGTCCCCAGTCCCTCTCCAGCTCTCCTGGAGCCCCTTTAGGCCCTGCAAGGGCTCTGAGCTCTCCCTGGAGCTTCTCCTCTCTAGGTGAGCACCCCCAGCTCTCCCAGCCTGGATCCAGAGCAGAGGGGCTCCAGCCCTTGCAGCATCTCCTCCTCTGGTCCCATTCTATCAGCTCCACATCTTTCTGTCTGATGTTGGGGATGCCCCAGCGCTGGGGCTGCTCTGCAGGTGGGGTCTCACCTGAGCTGGGCAAAGGGGCAGAATTCCCTCTCCTTTCCTGCTCCCCATGTTGGGGGATCAGCCCAGAGTGTTTCAGCCCTCACCCACCAGCATCAAAGTCCTTCGAGTGATGCTGTCCATCCATTCATTCGCCAGCTTGGATTGATCCCAGGGGCTGCCCAGTGTGGGGTGAAAATGAGTGCATGGAGCTGGGGGTCTCAGGGTGAACACTCCACCCATCCCTGTCTCCCTCCAGCGGCTGCAAAACCTCGGAGCGCAAGAGCCGGGGCAGCAAAGCAGAGACTTGGAGCCATGGGGCAGCCAAGGAGAAGACTCTGGAGTGTGGGCAGATCGTGTGGGGCCTGGCCTTCAGTGCCTGGCCAGCAGCTGAGGATGGGGACACAGATCCTGCCTGTGCCGTGGGGCTTCCCTGCCTGGTCCTGGCCACTGGGCTCAATGATGGGCAGATCAAGGTGTGGGAAGTGCAGACAGGTAAGCAGCCCTCGGTGTTGTGGCTTCAGGCTGGCTGTCCCCTTGTTCCTGTTCCCCTGTGGAAGGAGATCCCATCTCCCTCCCTCCCCAATACCTGCGCAGTCCCAAGCAGGGCTGCATGAGGGCTCTGTCTCATTCTCCATGGATGGATGGCACTGAGCCTGACTCCTCTCTGCAGGGCACCTCCTCTTCAGCCTCCTGGGACACCAGGATGTCGTCAGGGACCTGAGCTTTGCTCCCAATGGAAGCCCCATCCTCGTGTCGGCCTCGCGGGACAAGACCTTGCGCGTGTGGGACCTGAGCAGGGATGGTAGGAATGTGCTGTGTCAGGAAAGGGGGAGGAATCCACCTCGGGAGGGAAGGTGGTGGGAGAGGACCTTTGGAGACAGTATTTGAGGCAGAAGGGGACAGTCCCTGTGACCGGGAGCAGAGTGTAATCTGGGAGACGCAGGAGGGCATTGCCTTGGGATTTACCCAGGGAGTTCCCAGCCCAATGTGAATTCCCTCTGTGGAAAGGAAGGGAGAGCAGAGACAAGGAGTCCTGTTTCCCTCTGGTGACGCATTTCTGCTGTCCCCAGGGCGGCAGGTCCAGGTGCTGTCGGGCCACGTGCAGTGGGTCTACTGCTGCTCCATCTCCCCAGACTGCAGCATGCTCTGCTCCGCCGCTGGCGAGAAGTCGGTGAGTCCTGCAGGATGGGAGCCATCCCTGTGCCTGCTGAATCCAGCCCTCTGTGTCCCCAGAAACCCCCCTGGCAGAAGAGCCAGGCCATCCTGCCCTGGCTCCTCAGGAGCTGGAAGTTGGAAGCAGAGCCCATGTGGTTTAAACCTTGGGATGCTCCCAGCCTGATCTCCTGCCCAAATCCCGCAGGCACTGCTGTGGAGCATGAGATCCTACACCCTCATCCGCAGGCTGGAGGGCCACCAGAGCAGCGTGGTGTCCTGTGACTTCTCCCCGGACTCTGCGCTCCTTGTCACCGCTTCCTACGACGCCTGTGTCATCATGTGGGACCCCTACACTGGGGAGCAGCTCAGGACACTGCGGTACAGACCTGGGAGGGGACAGAGCAATGCCAGGGAGGTTTTTAGGGCTGGATGTGGCTCTCCCTGCTGAATGGGCACAGCCACCATCTCTACACGGGGTATGGACCATGGGGACACTGGACAGGACAGAGCAATACCAGGAAGGTTTTTAGGGCTGGATGGGGCTTTCCCTTCTCACTGGGCACAGCCATCACCGCTCCTCTGCTTCCAGAGGCAGGATGGGGGACTGGCTGGCCAAGTTTGGTGGCTCTGCCAGCCTCAGCTAGGGAAGGGGCCGGTGGCAGCTCAGAGCTGACACATCTTGTCCCCACCCACAGCCACGTCCCATTGCACTCCACGCTGGATTCCAGCGGTGAAATCCACACCAGCTCCCTGCGCTCCGTCTGCTTCTCCCCCGAGGGGCTCTACCTGGCCACGGTGGCAGATGACAGGTGAGTGAATCCCTGTGGAGACCCAGAGAGGGGCCCAGGAGGAGACTAGAATGAGCCAGGAGCTCAGGAGATGGGGAATAAATGTGCCAGGTCCCCACCAATTCCTGGAATAAGGGGAAAGGTCAGGCCCATGGGAACACCATGGCTTGGCTGTGATAAGGTCAGGGCCCTGTCACTCTGAGCTGAGGTCCATGTCCTCTTGGGTCTGTGACACCCTCGGCATGTCATTCGCTCAGCAGAGAACAGTCCTCCCTGGAACACTTCTATGGGAAGCAAATCCTTCTGGTTTCTGTGTCTTCAGGGGGTCCCAGAGGCTTCATTTTGGCATCAGGCACTGCACTGTATCCTCTCCCTTTCTCCACAGGCTCCTGAGGATCTGGGCCTTGGAGCTGCGGTCTCCAGTGGCCTTTGCCCCCATGACCAACGGTCTGTGCTGCATGTACTTCCCACACGGAGGATTCATTGCCACAGGGTGAGTAAACAGGAGAAGAGGGTGGGGAAACACAGGGTTGCTCCTCCCTCCTGCAGCTCAGCAAATTCTGGGCTTCCCTGGGGATAGTTTCCCTGAGCTGGGGAACGCATACTCCTGGCAAGACTGGGAATATTCTGGGACAGTTGGAATCCCTTGTGTCCCTCTGCCCTGTGCTCAGGGTTGCTTGGATCCCATTGCAGGACCAGGGATGGCCACGTCCAGTTCTGGACAGCCCCGAGGGTCCTCTCGTCACTCAAGCACTTGTGCCGCAAAGCCCTGCGCACCTTCCTCACAACCTACCAGGTGCTGGCGCTGCCCATTCCCAGGAAGCTGAAGGAATTCCTCACTTACCGGACTTTTTAAGGCAGCAGGGAGAGCAGAGGCAAGAGGTGAGCCCTGGGGCTTGGCCCGGGCCGGTGGCGCCGCAGGAACGCCGAGCTGTGAGCCAGGAGCGTTGCTGCTCCCGTGGTTTTGGGGCTGTGGAGGGCTTTTTTGGTGTCATAATACAAAAACCCAGCAAAATCCCATGCAGAGAGCTGCGGTGGCCCTGCAGGGGACATGGGTGGGACACAGGTCCCCCTGTCCCCTGCTGCCTGCTGGGTTGGGTCAGGTACTTCTGCTTCTGAGTGCAATGGTGTGGGATGACGGTGGAACAGCTGCTGTGGGAGCAGAGCTGTTGTCACCTGCACAAATATGGGGCTAAACCCCCCCAAAACACCCAGCTGGGAATGTCCCTCCATCCCGGTGGAGCGCGGGCTCTGCCGCTCTCCCGGCGCGGGCAGGAGCGGGGACAAGCCCGAGCAGGTCTCAATCAATAAAAATTGATTCCACATGATTTCCCTCCTGGCTTGCTCGGGTGACCTGGGAGTGCCTGGCACCGCCCTGGCTGCCAGGGAAGTGGTGTGGCAGAAATGGTTGGCCAGAAGTGTCCATCTGTGGGAAGAGGTGGCTTCACTCCACCCCCTGCTCCCATTCCTCTGTTGTTTTCTCTCTGTGCTGGAGTGTGGCACTCAATCAACCAAATTCCCAGACATGCTGAGCATGCAGCAGTGTTTTGTTTGTCCCCATCCTCCAGCTTAGCTGGTGGCTGGAGCAACAGCACATTCCCTGTGTGCTGGCAGGCTTTGTGGAGGTAATTCTCCTTCAAACAACTCCAGGATGTTGTTTATCCCTTGGGAACAGCTGAACACAGAAAGCTGGTGCACCCCTCACCCCCCACCTCCCTTCAGGAGGGAGAAGCAAAGACCAGTGCAACCTGCTGGGCTTTGGAGGCACCTGTATTTTCCCATTGGGAATAATGCTACCTTTTAACAACCTTTTTACCCTGACTGTGCACTCAAGGCTTCCAAAAAGGATCTGGGAAGCTGCAGGAAGCAGCTCCAGGCATGGTGCTGATGGTCCTTCCCAAATCCAGCAGCAGATCCAGGATCAGGCAGGATCAGGCTTCGGCCACCACCAGGTCCCTGGTGACCTGGAAGGCGGCGATGAGGGAGCTCAGCTGGATCTTCTCGCTGGTGCCAGCAGCCAGGCGGTACCTGGAAGGGGCCAAGGGCAGCTTTGTGGGTTTCCACCACTGTGGGTGCCCCCCAAAACCACAGGTTGTGTGCCAGCAGTGCCCAGACACCACCAGGAGCCACCCCAGGGTGCCCACACTGCGGGAGTGACACTTACTCGATGTCTGCCAGCTTGATCAGCAGCTGGATGCGGATGGAGGGGGGGAAGTCGACTGTGGAGAGAAAAAAAACACTCAGTGAGGGGCAGGAGGAAGTGTGGCCTCTCCAGAATCATCCGGAGCCAGACCCTTTCCCCACCTCTGTGCACGAAGAGATGGATCTCAGTGAGGATGTCCTGCAGGGCCAGGCCCTTCAGCGTCTTCAGCTCCATGATTTCTGGGATGAGAGCGAGTCAAGGCCCTGCTTCCAGGCGTTTCCCTGCCAGATCTGCTATGAAGAACATCCCTGAGGGGCCTCCCCAGTGAGCAGCACCCACCCCAGAGGCCACAGAGATCCCTGGGAAAGAGCAGGGTTTATCCCAGCTGGAAATAACCCCCAGGGTAGAGGATACTGCGGTAGGCAGTGGAAAAATCCTGGTTCAGCATCCAGTCGAGGATGTTGGTGATGTCAGACTTGAGGGGATGTCCCGTGCAGGTGTAAACGTTCTCCTCTGTCACCTTCCCAAAGGCCATGGAGGTGCTCTGAGGAAGAGGAGGGAACAGGAAGGATGAAGAGGCCGCTCCAGCTCAGCTGGCCAGGGGCTGATGGCCACACTCCCACCTGCAAGATGTTGAGGGCTCTGCGCATGTCCCCGCTCGAGAGGGTCACCAGAGCCTTCATCCCGTCCTCGGTCACATCCACCCTGGAAAACAACCCCCGGGGAAGTGGAACCGTGGGAATCCAGCCTGCTGCTCCTCCCTGGCAGGGAAGGGGGCAGAGGGGGCGTGGGGGGACCCCCCGCTCACCCCTCCTCCTGGATGACGTGCTGGAGCCGCGGCACCATCAGCTCCGGGGTCAGGGGGCCGAAGCGGAAGCGGGTGCAGCGGGATTGCAGGGCGGGAATGATCTTGGACAGGTAGTTGCAGATGAGGCAGAACCGGGTGTTTTCTGTGAACTTCTCGATCACTGCAAAAAGGACGGAGGGGAGGAGGGTCCTTGGCTGCTGCCTCGTCCTGATTCCCACCCTGTGCCGGGCTGGATGAGGCTGATGGCTGCCCACAGTGTGGGATCCATGCGGTGTGGGATTCCCAGTGCCCCTCACCTCTCCTCAGGGCGTTCTGAGCATCCTGGGTCATGGCATCGGCTTCATCCAGGATGACAAGCTTGAAGCCTTTCCTAGGAAAAGAGGGGTTTGGAGAAGGGGGAGCTGGGATGTTTGTTCCCAGCCTGACTCCTGGGAAGCCCTTCTTGCATCCTCACCCTGCCTGCTTGCTGGGCACCCACCCACCGCGGGACCTCCCAAATCCCCTTCCCAATCCAAGTGCCAGGGCAGGAGGGCACCAAAGAGATGGGGAGCTTTGGGAAGCACAGACCCACCACATACTTAAAGATGGTCCTGGTGCTGGCGAAGCTCAGGATGGGCCCTCGGACGATGTCGATGCCCCGGTCATCGGAGGCGTTGAGCTGGAAGGGAATGGTGTGGATCTGTATCCCTGCATCCCATCCCTCCACGCCACGCCACGCCACGCCACGCCACGCCATTATATCCCATCCCATCCCATCCCATCCCATCCCATCCCATCCCATCCCATCCCATCCCATCCCATCCC